ATATTTTGTTAGCTTGCTATGGAACACTGCACAAGCATATTGGTTATAATTTCTTGACGAGTATTTGTTTTTATCTCATATAGACTTGAAATAACACAATAATATGATTGTAAGATTTTGCTAAAGACAATTGCTTATGAACAATTTAGCGTCTGTTTGTTGTGCATGTGCATGCATTAAAAGTTACCGACGCAAATTATCCAAGGGGTGTGATATCCACACACCCCATTTTACTTCTCACACACCCTTCTAATTTTCGGCCGTCGGATCGGATGAATTGAAGAAGATCAACGGACAGAAATTAACAAGGGGTGTGTGGGAAGTAATTTGGGGTGTGTGGATAGCACACCCCATTATCCAAATGTAAATTTTTGGGTAAAGTACAAAAAACTACCTCAACTATTGGTGTCACGACACTTTCATACCTCATCTTTTAAAATTGACAATGTCATACCTCATCTTACGAATTTGTGCCAATGTCATACCTTCCGTCAGTTTCCCCAGTTAAATGTTGACGTGGCTTCTTGTGACGTGGCACACTTTATATTAAAAAACTAAAAAAAAATATTTTTAATAATTAAATATTCCCAAAAAAAAAACCCAGAAAGGAAGAAGAAGAGGAGGAGGAAGAAGAAGAAGAAGGAAGGAAGAAAAAAAAATATTCGTCCCCCCCCCCCACCCCCTTGCAACCCCTTTCGTCCCTCCCCCCCCTCTCTTCTCCCCTTTCATCTTCTTCCCCTACCTGCTTAATCTTCAACAAAAAAATAAAATAAAATAAAATTCCCTCGCCCAGATCCCGTCAAACCCCTTCCCCCTCCCCCTCCCTCTCTCTCTTCTCCCGTCAAACCCCCCCCCCCCCGGCCCAAATTTGAAAACTCATCTTCTTCCCCTACTTGTTTTTTTTCTTTCTTTTCTTTTCTCTCTCTCTTCTTCTTCTTCTGCAGGTTGGGTGGGTTGGGGGGGCGGACGAACTGGGTTTTGGGTTTCCTATTTTTTTTTTCTTCTTCTCTCTCTTCTTCTTCTTCTTCTTCTGCAAGTTGGGTGGGCAGGGGGGAAGGAACGGACAAACTGGGTTTTGGGTTTCGGGTTTCCTTCTTTTTTTTTTTTTTTAATTTTTTCTTCTTCTCTCTCTTCTTCTTCTTCTGCAAGTGGGGTGGGGTGGGGTGGGTGGGGGGGGGGACGGACGGACGAACTGGGCAATTTGTTTTTCTTTTCTTTCTTCTTCTTTTGCAGGTGTGGGAGGGATCTGGGCGCGGAAGGGGGGGTTGGGTGTGCAGAGTGGGTGCGGGGATAAGATAAACTGGGTTGATTTTTTTTTTCTTTTTTTTTTTTGGGTTGCAGGAAGGGGTTTCGGGGGAAGGAGAAAGGGGAGGGAGGGAGGGAGGGTGGGTGGGTGCGGGTGCGGAGGGAAGACGAACTGGATTTTTTTTTTTTTTTTTTGGGTTGTGGGAATGAGGATCTGGGGTAGAACATGAACATGGGAGGATGGGAGGGGTGGGGGGTGGGGAGGGTAATCGAATCTGATGGGTTTTTTTTTTTTTCTTCTTCTTCCTCCTCCTTCTTTCTGGGTTGCAGGAAGATGGGGATGGGAGGGATGAACAGAGGGTTTTTGTTTTTTTTTCTTCTTCTTCTTCTGCTTCTTCTTCCTCCTTCTTTCTGGGTTGTAGGAAGATGAGGAGGGGGAGAGACAAATAGAAGTTTTTATTATTTTTATTTTTATTTTTTACTTTTCTTTATTATTTTAATATTTAAAAAAATATTAAATAATTTTTTTTAGTTTTTTAATAATATTTTATTAGTTTTTTAATATAAAGTGTGCCACGTCTGCATTTAACTGGGGAAACTGACGGAAGATATGACAATGGCACAAATTCGTAAGATGAGGTATGACATTGTCAATTTTAAAAGATGAAGTATGAAAGTGTCGTGACACCAATGTTGATATAGTTTTTTGTACTTTACCCTAAATTTTTATTACTGGGGACCAATTTCATTAAAAGCCCAGTAAATGAAGTTGGTCCAAAGAGCCATAGGAATCTTGTACGAGATTCTTCACACTCTGCAATTACAAACGCTGACCCACTCTTATCCTTTCTTTGGGCCACTCTATCATTAAAACCATACTAAGTACTTCTTCTATGGCGCGTTTACATAACAGTAATGAAAATATGAGGAATTGAATTATGGAGGAATTGAATTGAGGAGGAGGGAGGAGATGAAATGAAGAGAAGTCAGAATCAGATTCCTGTTGAAGCTGTTTACTTAAATGTTTTGGAATCGGAATAGAATTCCATAAAGCTGTTTACTAATTTAGCAGAATCAGAATATAAACCAGTATGATTACTAAAATGCCCTTGTCCCAAACCAAATATTTTATATACTTTAATGAGTTTATAAAGGATAGTCTTGGAAATAAAAAAAAAAGTAAGTGAGGACATAAAGGGAACAAAAGTGTCATTCCGATTATCCAAACAATCAGGAATTGGATTACCACCTATATCTAGGGAATCCAATTCCACTAATACAAAGAATTGAATTCCAAAATTTGTGTGGGCCCCACTGCTTTTTTTATTCCTCCATGTTTAGTAAACACCGGAGTACTCCGTAATTGGAATTCAATTTCACATTCTCATTCCGATTACGGATACGTAAACACGTCCCTAGTATAACACTTGGAGGGAAAACAATATTGAAACAATAAACACATATTATTTTTAGCTCTTTATATAATTTTGTTTGATGTTATTTGTCGTTTTTATTTATTCAATTTAATAACGGTAAATAAAGAAAAGTTACCCAAGCATTGTTGATTATGCTTTTCCCAATCCAAATTCCTAAACATAATATCCAAAATGTAATTATCAGCAATTAGCATGGCTTTGACTTATGCGCCGGCAGAAGAAGAACAATCGGGAGTGAAACTACGTTTGGTCTAACAGCTAAAAACTATAATAATTTTTAGCCATTGGATCAAATTTTAAAACTCAGATCACTTGATCCTTAGGCTTTGGAGAGAGAGATTCAGAGAGGATCTATTTCCCTGAGCCATTTTGGACCGTTGCACACGTGGAGTCTTTTTAGGACCCCACAATCACGCGAGAGTGGAACTCCTACTTGGGTCTCTGACTCTCTGCCATCTCATTAACTATAGTTTTACCACAAACATTTGATGTTGAAGCATTGTTTACTTAATGTGAAAAGAGAACTATATGATATCATTAGTCATCACATGCATGCTATGGCGAAGCCAAGAATTCTTGTGAAGAGGAGCCTCTCACAATGTAGTAGGAAAAAGGGTAGTATCTATAAAATCACTAACCAAAATACCATATAATATGTATCCAACGTAATCATATTCATCTTCGAGGAGTTTTCACATTTTGAAACAATAACATGATAGCCTCGTCATCTATACTATTAAAAGAATTATTAAACTCAATAGGGATAATCAAGAAAAAGTTTAGAAATCCTAACACTAAAGTAAGAGATAGAATAGAGTAGAAACAAATAAAAATTATAGACAATAATAGCAATTTACAAATCTTATTGTTACTTATTGAATAAATTTGTAACCTTTTTTATTAGTTGAATGAATTTGGAATTTGAAATGACAAAAAATATGAAATCAGAAATTTCGAGAATGAGATAGGGAATAACTCTCGAATCTCTGCATTGTAACTTGAAAGAAATCAGATTAGAGTGTGAGGCAAGGTTTTTTATTTTTATAAGTAAAAGTAAATGATGGGTTTGATTTTAAAGGTTTGATTTGTGATAAAGGACCATAACAAGAGATGATGATTGAATTTATCTGAAGTGTTGAACAATAGGAGGGTTTTAGAGCAAGAAAAATAGGTAGACAAACACATATATGTTTTTTTCAAGATCAGGATAGGCCAAAGACCACCATGGTCCCTTGATGCCTCCGCCAGTGGTTTTAACCGGTTCATGCATTGTACAATTTACTTGGTTCGCATGCACAAAATTGATTAGTAACATTAGGCAAAATGTGATGCATGATAAAGTATAGATAGTTGTAAGATTTTGCCACGGACAATTGCTTATGCGCAACTTAGCTAATGTTTGTCGTGCATGCAAGAGGCATATCCAGTGCCCAGAGTTGGGTAGCTTGTACGAGATTCGTGACACTTCGCAATTATAAACGCTGACCAACTCTTATCCTTTCTTTGGGGACACTGATCAAGATTTTTCCATGCCTTATGGGTCCATCATAAAAACTTTCATAAGTACTTCTGCTAGTATAACACTTAAGCGAAAACAATATCGAACGGCAAAAAGAGAAAAATACATGTTTTTAGCTTCGCATACACTTTTGTTCTAGATTTATAGTGTGTCAGTTTCAAACTCTGAGATCTTTAACAACTAACATCCTCCCGCTGACGGGGGAAAAGACTTCACATTTTGACTATTCTTGTTGTTTAATTTATCTAATTTGATGATTAAAAATAAATAAATAAAACTGTGCGTCAAAATCGCTTTCTTGTCGAATACTATTTTCTACTTTTGTTTATACATTATGCAACGCATATTAGTCACTTTTGTCATTTAAAAAACAAAAAAAAAAACATGCGTTACATTATTTATGATTTTTATTGAGGTTACCCAACCATTGTTCATTATCCTTTCCCAATCTAAATTCCTAAACACTAGCCTTCATGCATGCGCTCACACGTGTGCAGAAGACATTTTTTAAATCACGACAATATCACTCAAATTGAGTTCCTTTGTTTCCCAACATTTTATCAGCAACCAAGCAGAGGAAAATTGTGTTAAACTAAACAAGTAGCAGTTGTGAGTTGGGTTTCACCTCTTTAAATTCGTAATATTTTTAACATGCATGTCCATCATTATTTCTTTAATTTGTTTTCAAAATGGGGTAAGATCATGTTGGTTCAAAACTACTGTTAACATGTTATCATTCAACATAGTATACCATGGATCAAACAATTAACGTTCGTAAACCAAAAAAAAGAGATGAGAAATTGATGGAAAAATTATTAGTCTAACATGACTAAGTTGTAGTGCAAACAATCATCAGTCTGACTCCCTTGAATGATGAAAATGTTTATAATCACAAAGTTCTCTTAATTTGGAGAAGATATATACCACAGAATTAGAATTAAAAATATAAAAAATATAAAAAAAACTAATTCTCAAATATATACCAAAGTTGAACTCTTTCTCTAACTTTGGTATAAAGAGAAAACACCCCATGTAACCAATTGCAAATTATGAGAAGCCACCCCTGGTGTCTGTCACCAACTTCTTTACATCCAAAGCCCCCATCTTCTGCAACCTAAACCAACCAAAATCCAACACAACACCATGTTATACTTACAATCTCTATCAATTAACAAACTTTCGTCTTCTCCAATTGGGATTACAAACATCCACCAAATGATTTCAGATCAGTCCCCAAATTTGTAAAACATGTTTTTATGCAAACAAAACAACGAAAAGTACGAAAAACTTAAACCCAACCAAGTGGTTTTCTTAAAGCAAGAAATTGGAGCCAACACAAACAAAATCTATCAAATTACCAATATGCAATCAGTGAACAATTTCATAACAAAAACAGTTAAATAGACCCAAATGAGATTAAAAGTTAAGAATTCACCAAACAAATTGAAAATCTAATTCTAAAATTCCAAACACCCACCAAATGATTTCGGATAAAGTTTTAAAGTCGAATACATGTTACTGATACATAAGGGTATATAAGAATGAGAAGTAAAGTATGATAATTTTAAAGCGAAGGGCCAATCCTACTCTTTGGGAAATCACATTTTGAGCTTGGCTGCTTTTCAGTTTCACTCTACTCTTAGATGTGTTCTTCTTTATGGGTAGACTTTCCAACCAAACATCTGTTCACAGATATAATTGTCCCTAGGTACACCAACATTCCAAAATCATATATATTCTCTAATGTAAACTAATTCTTAGCTAATTAACATATTCAAATCCTTATTTTCTCATATGATTATGTACCAATAGGATTAGGCAAATCTTTACCTTTACCAAACTGATGTCTGGATGCACCTCGTCCAGAATTTGATGACATTATACTTGAATCAGAATTTTATTTTATTTTTTTTAAAAGAAAGAATTTGATGAGATTATACCAAATCAGAAAATTAAAAAAAAAAAGAATTTGATAACATTATAACTGTAAAACCCAAAAAATCAATATATATCAATTCCTGTAAAACCCCAAAATCAGAAAATTAAAAAAATAGAATTTGATAACATTATACCTAAAGAAACCCCAAATTTCCAGTCAAAGGAAAATTAATAAAACCTCTGGAAAAAATAATCAGGAGATAAAAAACACAAATACCAAAAAATAGAGTCAGCAAAATAATCATATAAATTGTGATTTATATGAAAATTTAGGGGGAGGGTAAAGATTGGAAACGCACAGAGAGGGAGGTCTTGTATTTCTGCCATTATGAAATGCAATGCTCCTTGTCCCATCGGCCCTTGACAAACTTCTCCGAGTACTACCTGAACAAAGGGACGATATCCATTGAACCCTTTTCAGAAAATGAAAAATGGATTTTAGAGAGAGAGAGAGAGAGAGGAGAGAGAGAAATTAGGGTTTAAGAGCTAATTAAAGGAGATTGTATTGTGTTCATTTTTTCTTTTGTTCTTCTTTTAAAAACGACTCTTAATCAAGATTCCTCTTCATCGTACACTAACTTATGCAACACCACCTAAAACACACACACACACACACACACACACACACAAGGACATTCTCCAAAACACAAAAAAATTAAGAACAAATGGATTTGCATAGATTCAACATTCACAATATACAAAATTCAACCTCCACAATATACAAAAAGTAAAAATTTTGTTACACAAAATTCTGAAAGGAAGATGCTAAATTATTTACCTTGTGCACAAAGGGCTTGGAAGTCTATACATAATAGCCGAAAAACAAACAGCAATCTAACAATATAAACAAACTCTCAAAATCACAGAATCAAAATTGAAACAGAAAAGCCATTTATAAATTCAAAACAACCAGCCAAATCACAAATACAAAATTCAAACAAAAAACCCATGTAGACATCGAAAACCACAAAAATAAAATTCGAAGCAGCCACACTGAGAAAGTCACAAAACTCACCGGAAGACGCTAGATTTCGAGGGTAAAAATCGATCCTAATCGAATTGAAAAACTGATGAAATTTGTAGCCACCGAGAGGTTTTAAAATTATAAAAATTTGAACAAAGAAAAGAGAAATAAAAAACCAAAACCCGAAACAAATATGCCGGATAGCTCACCAGGAAACCCAAGGTTTCTGCAGGATTGACGATTTCCTGAAAACCAAGCCTTTCTAGGTTTAAACTTTCTTCCCGAAGGAAACAGATGTAACATTCTTGCAAAGAAAATTCGATCACGAATTGAAAAGAGAGAGAGAGAGAGAGAGAGAGAGAGAGAGAGAGACGAACCTTCTTGTGGAGGCTAGCGATTTGGAGCTTGAGAGAGAGATCGATAAATCTGTGGAAGCAAATGGAAGGGCCCTGCTTTTCCATCTTTCTTCCGTTCCAAGACGAGCAACATATGTATAGCAGGAAGAAAATCCAACAAAAAGACACACAGATGAGGACTCGCGGGCAGCGCTCTGCACAGTGAAACAAAATGCAGAACACTCTGGAGTGAAACTGCGCTTGGTTAACGGTCACATCACGGGCACGCCAGCCTGAAGGAGATGATAAGCTCCCAGGAATCTGATCGGAACATAAGTTAATCAATACGTGGCGTCTTGCAGATAATCATCCAAATCACGCTTTGCGCCATTTTGGACCGTTGCTCACGTGGAGCTTCGTCTAGGACCCCACGATCACGCGGGAGCAGAACTCCTACGTGGGTCTCTGCCGTTGCATGCTTCATGCACAGGGGATGGGCCCAGAATTTTAAACACCGGTGGACTCAACTTTGAAGACAAGAGGTGGAGGGAGTGAAAGGAGAAAAAGGCTGATGGGATGGAGAGATTTTTTAATGTAATCGGCACATAAGGTGGTCCATCACATGTTATTATATAAATTGCAGAATATGTGTGTTAAAAAGTTAATAACTTAAAAAATAACATGTTCCACCACTTACATAAAAACACGTGATGTATCATTCGTATTTTCGTCACAATAAAAAATTTCTCAATGGGGTGGGGTCTAATCTGGAAATTGAGGAGTAATTTGTTATTTTATGGCCTAACTGGGTTGGGTATGGAACTGAGGTGGGCTGAATGGGCTAATCCCCTTAAGTATTAACCTTTTGTCTGAAATTTCCGTTGGGCTACAGCCCAACCCAGCAAAGCCTCCATCCGGATCTCTGCTCATGCAGTATCCAAATCATCAATGTCAAATGAAAAGGACGGGTTGTTCTTGTTTGTAACCGAACAGGAAAAAGAAAAGAACCGGTTTTGGGGCTAGAGAAAAGAGAAACGGCGGCTTTTAAGTTTTCAACATGAATCCAACTACTATTACGACTTTTTTGGGTAGGAAAGGGATCCTATCCGGATCACTTCATCCTAATCCACTAAATTCAGAGATCCGAGTCGTTGAAATCTGATCCAACTGCTAAAGTTATTATAATTTTTAAAGTGAGCCCTTATTTGTAGCGGTTGGATCAAATTTCAATGGTTCAGATCCACGAATTTAGTGGATTAAGAAGAAGAGATCCGGAGAGAATCTCTTTTTCTGTTGGTCGGCAGAATGTGATGAGTTATATCCAATTAAATTGGACTGGTAATCAAACAGATGTTTGTCGTTTTAATTGAACATAAACCAACCGATATTTGTTGGGTAAGAACGTAACTTGGATATAATAGGACAAAATAGGTTACGAATCTCAAATAAAGTTATCTAACTTACCTCATAGTCTCCCACACTTCAACGTCGTCGAACAAATTTTCGCATGTTCTCTCAACTGCAATGACAAATTTAGATCAGATTTTTGCATGTGTGATTACTGATGATTAAATTATTAACTAAATGTTAATTAATGTACTTATTTTTATTAATAACACACCATATAATTTATAATTTTGATCTGAAAAATTAATCCAATTGACCTCCCTACCATTAATCGTGGTACAGTAAAAACTTGAGCGGTGTTTATTTATACTCTTCCCATCATTTCAGCATCTGCTGGAATCGCTACACGTGCGCGTGGGAATTTCATTGTCATCATCGAGTCATCGTTATATAAAGACGCCATCTTTCCGCGTCGAGCACATCCTTCATCAGACGCCGATGGCCACCGAAGCTCCCGGCTATACCACCCGATTTATCGTCTCCCTTTCAACCCGACGACCCGATTGCCCCTCTCCGTTTCCGAAGCTCCTTTATCGCCTCGAAACGGGTCAGTCCAACTCCAACTCTCTCTCACTCTCACTCCCAAAATTACTGATTTTTTGTATTTATTTTATTTTATTTTATTTTTTTCTCACCTTGTTAATTTGAGATTGAAGTAATTGGTGGATTTTAGTTAAAACCCCTAATTTTATTAGTTTAGCTTCAATTCCTTGTTAATTTCTGGTTAGAACAACAAAATTTAAAACTTTTGGGGGTTTTTGTTTGTAATTGTATCTAAAACCCACTAGGGTTTTGAAATTTTTTATTAATGTCTTGCAATTTATCATTAGTTAATGGAAATTTTTTTCCAAAGGTACAACCTTTCTGGAGGGTTTTTTTATGCTAAGTAATGATGTGGTGGATTTTCCTTTTTCATATCCATTTTATCATGTCATGGATTCATGTTTGTATGTCTATGACATGACCAGAACATTGAAGATTGCAACTGCTGCAGCCATGAGTGATGCAATTGATTTATCCGGGGATGGCGGTGTTCTCAAGAAAATTGTAAGGCGTGCAAAGCCAGATGCAATTGCTCCGACCCAAGACCTTCCGCTCGTTGATGGTAAGGGCTAGAGTGTTGTTGCTGATCATATTTATTTTTCGTTTGTGCAGTGCGAACATTTTGTGATTAGGTTGAGTGGAAATACCTAGCAAACTTATGTTCAATTTGTTAATAATCATATACATTATGTTGGCAGTTCATTATGAAGGCATTCTTGAGGAAACCGGCGAAGTCTTTGACACGACGCACGAAGATAATACAATATTCTCATTTGAGATTGGGAAAGGCAGTGTGATCAAGGCTTGGGATATTGCAGTGAAAACCATGAAGGTTTAAAATAAGTTTCTCTTTGAGGATTTTTTTGTGAAATTTTCAAGTCCCCTATTACATGTTTTCTCTTTTGATTGTTTCCTCAGGTTGGGGAGATTGCTAAGATCACTTGCAAGCCAGAATACGGCTATGGAAGTGCTGGTTCTCCGCCAGATATCCCACCCGGGTAATGCCATTGTTCTATTCATTATTTTTCTGTCAATTTTTTTTTTTATCAAGGGACACTAGGAGTGCTAGTAGCTTTGTTAAGTTAAAAATATGTTTGCGCACCGATGTGCCAAAACAACACTGTCCAGACATAATTATCTCCCAAATGTGGATAGTATATGCTTATAGTAAACAATTGCATCTTAGTCTATGATTTAAGAGTTATTTGGTTGGTGATCTTCGATTCCCAACTATAAACCAATATATTTGTTGAATAGATGTAAAATCTCCGGAAGCAAGAAATGTACATAAATTCCAGGTGGCAAGACAAGGGAGGGTCTTCACGCTCGATACTTGCTAATCTGTGCGCATTCTGGTTTATGACTGTATCCAAGTGTTCGTAAAAGTCTGCATCAATTTTCTTGGTCAATCATGTTTTATTTCTTGTTACAAATGGTGTCTCTCTACAATGCCTTTGGAATTAATTCATCGTCTGTTACAAATTACTCCTGCAGTGCAACCCTTGTATTTGAAGTGGAGTTAGTTGCTTGCAATCCGCGGAAGGGATTAAGTTTGGGTAGTGCTTCAGAGGAAAGGGCTAGGCTAGAGTAAGTCCATTTACTTTCATCTTCTCCATAACTTATATTCCAGATATATAATGCAAGTCTTATTGTTACCGTTGAACTTTTTGTTGGTTCCGTTGAGATCTACCAACTTTTTTGTGACCAGTATGATTGATTGAATTTTACGTTGGTCCTCACAACAGAGAACTGAAGAAACAGAGGGAGTTAGTTGCTGCAAACAAAGAGGAAGAGAAGAAGAAGAGAGAAGAGGCCAAAGCTGCTGCCGCCGCTCGTATTCAAGCAAAGTTAGATGCCAAGAAGGGCGGAGGAAAGGGAAAAGGGAAAGCAAAATAGGCACTTGGTCGCATACTCGCATGTTTGCATGAGCTTGATCCTTCATATTTATGTAGATACAATAAATAAATTTAATTCGCGAGTTAGACCGAACTATGTCCTTCATAAATAAGTTATTTTCGGACCAGAAAAGATGGTATTGATGTGTTATTGAAATATGAGGTGTTGAATTATTACATAATCTAATGCTGAATTATTGCATTTCTTTACTGTGGGGAACTTTATGAATCACAAGGCTTTAACAAGGAGATTTCAATCAAATACACAAAACTTGTATTGTAATTGTAAGTATCAATTTCTTCACCATCGAATGACAAGGTCTCGTAAGTCCTTAGATTTTTAGCCTCGCCTCTCGAATCATGAGTAATTTAGGAGACGCTGTTGAAGATGTAACCCTTCTGCCTGACCCCCTTCTGTGACTTGTTCAAGTCTTCCTCTATCTATGGCAGTATCGAGCTCTCGAAATCCAGGCCGTTCAAGTTTATCTGCCGAGACATCTCAGTGACAGCAGCTGGCAGCGGATTAGCATCTTCAGTTACACTTGATGCATCTACTGCAGAGGATACACCGCAAGGAGGCGGAACATTGCGTACATTGCATCCTCCTCGATCTACTTATAACTTCAAGGATGACATGGAGGTGTTCTACCCTCTAGTGGATGTTCATCCATTCACACGTACACTTGACAAGCTGTGGGATGCTGACAGATCAAACAAGGATCATTTGTTTGCAGATAAGAAGCCACCTTCATCACTTTTGTTTCCTTGGCCCGGCAGGATTTTTAGTTTTTTGGAGGAAATGAATGCTCAACGTCGAAGTTCATCTTTTGAATTGTAATTAACAACCCTATATGGATTGTTCTGAATGATAATTTGTGTTATTCCTCTTCTCAAAAAAAATAAAAAATATAAAAAAATAATAATTTGTGTTATTCCTTGGTGCAGGATGACATACAGTCGTCGTTGTTTGCGCTATCAGATTCAACTCCTGCTCCATCATCCAAGAGTGAAGACTCATCCGTCACCCTTCCAGAAGCTTGGGGTTGTGAGATTTTATGTAAGTATAACCACCTGCGGCGTCCGCCATTCTCTTTTCCATCTTGCATTGGGAAGTGACCTCAGAAATCAGGTTCAATTTTATCTGGATTGCCAGAACACATATCCTCCAGTGCCATGCCTATTGGGACAGGCTAACCTTGATTCACCAACCTCTTTGGCCTTTCCTCAAAGATTCTATCTAATTATGCAGAGAGAATTATCGCCACATCAAACTTCAAAGACAGAACGTCCCTGGCAGTGGGTTTGCCGGAAACAAATTAAGCAGCAGCTGAAGGCAGAGAAGAGGTGAACTGTCGAGTAGCTTGTTGTCCAAGTCAGACACATCAAACTGCCACAGAATCAGGTGCTCTTCCACGCAAGAAGAAACTCTTGATTCTTTTCGGAATTCCACACAAGAAGATATATAAATTTTAAGAAAAATTCATATGCGAGAGGTACGCATCCGTTATCTTCTTGTTCTTTTTTTAATTTTCTGGAAAACCAAAAGCTGAGCTGATGAAGGAAGTTCAGCCTCTTCGGAAAGAATACCAGCAGCACTGGCAACTGCTTTGAGCGCCCGTGAAGATTGTTACTGTTTTGATTTTTTGATTTTTGATTTTTTATTTTTTGTGGATTTGGGATATGTATGTCGCTTCAATCGTTTTTTTTTTTTTTTTGTCAACGGAAAGATTTTATTTCAACCAAAACACAAAGACAAAGGCCTAACAACACCTGTACACAGCCAAAAATGGCCTAAACAGAAAGAAAAAAACATAAACAGAAAATGAGCCCAAAAGCCCAAAACCAAAGAACATCCGAGAAGCATCAATGCCTTCTCCACCGACGATCCAAGGAATTGTCAGCCATCCGATACCCCAACCACCGTTGATCATCTTCTTCGCTGACGTCTCCTGCACACAGCCATAAGCTATGAGTAATCAGCATCCAAGCGACAGAGGCCAAGCACCAGTTGGAAGCTCAAAACAAGTCCCGAGCAACACTGCCGCAAGAGGCAAACACAAAGGAGAACGTGGTGGTGTGGAACACACCCGATCCGGTGCAAGCGCCGAAACTCTACACACGATCTCGACAGAAAACATGGCTAAAAAACGAAGCAAGGAAGAATCAGGAAGAAGAGAACCCACAAAGCTGGAGGAATTGAAAAGGTCAAATAAAAAATTGGGGAGAACCAACAGTAGATACAGGGAGAAAAGAAGGAGAAAAGGAAGAAGAGGACACAGCACCCGACCCCAGCCGAAGCTAGGGCCGGTGCCACCGAAGAGCCTGGAAGAAGATCTCACAGAAGTACTCTCACAGCAGAGAGAAAGAAACCCTCACAGAGGAAAAAACTCAATTTCGAAGGTTTAGGCACTTTGTCGCTTCAAGCGTTATAATTTGCAATTTCCCCCAACACGGTAGTACTAGAAAAGCCTTAGATTTATGAAATTTTCAATTTTAATCCAATCACAAGCGCTAAAAAGGCCATGTTCGTAAGGTACGGAGATGTTATCGCTCTCCAAAAATTCATCCTGCACTCCTTGGTGAAAGAACATAAGAGCAAAGTGCAAGACTATGTTGGAGCGTCAACTAACAAATCCGTAAATTTAAAACAACGGAATTTCATTTCGAAAATCTATTTTTATCGGAATCTATAAGTGACCAGTAAACAAGCTTTTGTCAACAAATTAAGATCGATCATACAATGTTAGTATGATCATCTTTTAGACCTAATTTTGTAAACCAAATAATGTGACAGTTAATGGCTGGATTCCATTGTTAATGGTTTAAAGAAAATATCCAACCACAACCGCCACATGAATTGGGATCCTCTCCGGATCTCTATGTCCAGAGCTTATGGACAAAGAGATCCGGACCGTTGAAGAGAGAAATTCAAACTCTTGGTTTGTGTAAGATGAGCCAGTGAGATTGGCTAATAGGAGCCGCAAGATTAAAAATGAACGGTTGGGATCTCTTGGTCCTTTAGCTCTGGACATAGAGATCCGGAGGATCTCCATTCCCGCCATGTCATGTGGTCTACAAAGAGCATCTTTTTTATACGGATTTCAAAATACACAAAATTTGTTGTATTGAGGGCATAATATAGCCATTTCAATGCCTAAATGTCAAGATAATTACAGCAATGCCAATGCTGGGCATAACCCTTGAATCTGATCCATCAGTGTGCCTAACTATGCAGGTAGGTACATCTACTAGTTACTCTGTTATAATTAAACCATGTAAGAAGCATCCGTTCCAGCTTCTCCATTTTCATGCCACCCTGATCCTGCTCGGAATTTACATACCGGACAGGTTCCCTGCTGCCTCAGCCATGGATCAATGCAACTAGCATGGAACTGCAGCAAAACAACAGAAAGAAACACAATAATAAAACGAGATTTTAGAATACCAGAGCACCATTACAAAGAAGTGTCTTCTATCACAACAATGCACCACACAAAGTTTACTCCTCTATTCCAATTAGCTAGAGATGTGTTTTAGGTTCATAATTTGCGTGAGTGTGAGAGAGCATGCAGTGTGGGGACGTGTGTGCACGTGTGTGTGTGTAGGTCGAGCAGAACTAGATGCATTTTGTAGTTGGGACCAACCACACATTACTCCGTATCAGAAGAATTTCTTAGCAAACATTTTAGTCCAGCAAGAAATCCTAAAACTCGCAACTGAAAAATACAGGAAAAAGAGGCCTAAGAATGTCAAACCACTGAAAAGAGAACCGAACCTGATGCAAGCATGGAAGGCTGCGGATTAGTTCTCCCACAGTAACTTGCTCCAGGCAAACGCTACAAGTCAGTTCATCTTCCACTGCTTTTGTGCTCCCAACCGTGTCGACAGTTTCTTGCTTCTTCTGCAAAACAGAACAGAAAGATACAATGCCACAGAATAAATGCACTGCTATCATATCATATGAGATTATATCGTACACAAAATTTCTTCTGGCTGTACTCATACAAAATGAAATGCAGGAATCTCTTTACTCTTATAGAGTGACAGAAGGGTGAAAAATACAAAAGCAAAGAGGGATAATATATAGCCAATACCTCAGCAGGTGCTGAAGATGAAGCTTGTTGCATTGATGAAGCACCACTGCATACAGAACAAAACCATGATAAAACAAATGTATTCAACGTGCAAAGGCTAAACAACTATAATTCAATTCATTCTTCCATTTGCCTCGAAAATTGTTGGACTCTTTTTGTCTAAATCAATCACTCAAGGAAAGAAAAAAAATTAGAGAACTTACATTTGAGGACCTGGCACCTTGTATTTATGGACCGGAAGTGCATTTATCTCTTCCTCACTCATAGAAGAAGCTGCTGGAACATTATCAGAATCCAGAGCTCGCAAAGTTTCATAATCTGGTATTGAACAGAAGAGTAATTTGGCATAAAACTAAAGTCTATAAAAAATACTAAGAGACAAAGCTATGGTTGGGCTAGTAAAATTTTAATAACAGCCATGTATGGGGTTTCAAGATGTAAAAATCATTTTTAGACGGATTTAACCACTAACCTAGGTCATCAAATTCCCGGTCAAGAAGTGCAAGCTGAAGCCTGAGGCCTTGAAGGCGCCCTCTTGTTGCTAGGGCTATCGATGGTGGCATATGCAACCGCAATTCAGTATGGCCAAGAAGGCCACTGGCTGCCGCAACATGAGCCTGTGCTTGAGCTTGAAGTTGTTGACAGGTTGCATACATCCTTAATGTTGTAGCCATCAAAAAGACACCAAGAACTAGCCAGAGCTACATGCATAAGTTTAAAAGAACTTATTTCTCATAAAACAACCTAAACGAACCGCGACCTTGACCAGTAAATGTAGCAAACCAATTTAACACACTCAGAGAAAGACAATACCAGAAAATTTGGTGACATCTGGTGTGAGTTCAGTATCATGAACAGCAAAAGAACTGGCCATACGACAACACATAAACAGATATCAGTACCAACCAACAAAATTACAAGACTATACAAAGGGTAATATGATAGGCACCTGTGACAAGAAAAGCAAGTGAGTTGGAATTGACAGAGCGTGGTGGATGAACGCGCTGAGATAAAACAACCAATATCAGTACAAATGAATGAATAATAATAACTTTGCCCCTGTTCCCGTAGATAATTTACACGCATTGCCCCCCAGAACTCACCCTCCACCCTTGCCTTTAAAAGGGAGAAGGTGCAATTGGGCCCAAATGGTATTGGCAAATGAGAAAAATAGAAAATTGCATACACACCGGCCATGGATTAAAACATGAAATTCAAACCTCCACCCTTGAAAAAGGTCGAATTAGGGCCAAAGTCAATGGAAATATGTGAAATACAAGAAATGTACCATTGCACGCCGCTCTGGTATAAATTCTGGGAATCCACTTTCGATATCCGCCCTGGAACCCCGGAATACAAAACTCATGTCTGTAGAGTTCCAAAACCCTCTCTGCTCAAACTATGAAGTCACTGACTTTCCAATTCACTGAACTGAAACACGCCAAGAAAACACATACAATCAGTAATCCTCATAATCCATACGCAAAAAGAAGCAAACTACTGGTAAAACGTAACTAAAGATTCCCAATTGACATGCAGCAAGAAAATCACGAGTGAAAAAAAATAAAAAATAAAACTAAAACCCATTTAATTCCAAATTCCTGATACAAAATCACAACTCAATAAGAACCCTAATCCCCAAATCACGCTCCCTTGGCTATGCAATTAACCACAAAAAAATTATTCTTTCAACTTTAGTAATTCAGGTCGCAATCGAATGCTGTGAGAGATTAAGAATTACAGAGGCATATTAAAAGAAGGTTTCGTAAGCTACGATCAAGAAAATTAAAGCAATCAGAAATTAAACAAGGGACTGACAGAAAAGAAACGACTTCAGATGGCTCAGATCACAAGAAACGGCAGCGTTTTCACGAAAACGCCGTGCAAGCGCTTCTTCGGTGGAAGAAAGGAAGCGAGTTGGAGCGTGCAGAGATCTGAGTTGACTCGGACGCGTTTCGCCGCGGAAAAAGCTTTAAGCTTTTTGTTTTGTCTGTCGGAATTGGTTTGTTTAACGACTCTACGAAGATTTTAGTTCAATTAGTGTTTCGCTACGACACCGTTTCCCTCCTGGTTAGTCTTTAACGGCTGCTTTGACTGCGAAATCTCGGAGACTCCTTTTCGGTTTCAACTTTCGAGCTTCCACAATCCGAATTCCGTCCTAAACGCACCGTTCTGATCAACAAGAAACCAAACAACATTACCAACCAAGAAACCAAAATTAGGTTGTCTATCACAAGTGGTGAATTGTCATGTTAGTTACAATGCGTTTACAATTTATTACGTTCAAGGTTCAAATCATTCACTTTTTTTAATTTAAAATGATTGAATTTTCTTGAGGGAGCAACTTCAATGTAATAGGTTGAAAGAAGAAAATGAATTGGGTTTTCTATTGGTGAATCTCTTTCGTGTAAGTCTCTCTAGTTCTAAGGGCCTGTTTGGATAGGGTGTAGCCAATTAAAATGGACTTGAGTCCAATCCTTTGTTTGTTGTGTCAAAATGTAGATAAGCATGATTGGACATGATGGGTTATGAATCACAATAGAATGAGTTATCTAACCTATCTTTATACATGAGTTACAAGTCATGTCTTACATGTCCATGCCAATCCTATTATATCCCTAAGGTCCAATCTCATCCAACTCATCAAATGGACTCTAAGACTACGTCACCAGTATGACCACAATAACAAAACAAACAAACAACGTAATTCTAACTGGTTCTAAGATTACGTCACAAGTCTGACCACAATAATAAAGACCGTCAAAGATAAACAAATTCGCTTTGACTTTTGTTGTGGTATAAATAAGCCACTTTCTGTTTTATTTATGATCGTCAGGGGAATAGTTTGTTTATTGTAGAACTTAAAAATATATATATATATATATAATGAAGGGGGAGGATTTCGAACCCGAAACATACGGGTAAAAACTCAACACCTTATCTAGTAGGATATTAGATCATCTACATTGATTTTCATGACTTGATCATTAAATTTTAAAACATATCTGACTAACAAGGGATTTAGTACATTGTGTATCAATTTCAATGAAATTTTGAGACTAGAGAAATTGCATATTAATTTTTATCACATATGTAGGGTAAATTGAGCAAAACATGGGGGAGGGAGACAATTCAAGTGCAAATTAATGTATGATTTTATAACATGTGCAACTCTTGCAACTCCATCTCCATGAATCTTGATAGATCAGGCACCCTTCATCGTCCTCTTGGGTCCCACAGAAAATCCAAAATCCACCATTGGAGTTGGAATCTTGGGCAATCGAACCCTGCAACATTGTACCCCTCCAGCCCCGCAGTGACAGCCCCGCCTGCCCTTACTAAAATACATATTCATTGCCCAACAGAGCTACAGAATCTCACTGTTAAAAAATTAAAATAAACTACAAAATTACCAAAACAGAAAAGTTAAACTATTCAAAGTAGCACCGAGTTTTTAATATTTACGCAAATCCCCAGGACCACAGAATATCTGAACAAAATGGGCCACCTATCTTACTACCAACACTTTGTTCGGCCCTTCACCGCTCACGTCCCTGTACGTCATTGGTTTGAAATACCTTCACGTTATCGTATTCGATTTGTAAGTCACCAAAACTTTGCCAGCTCAGGCCCAGCCGGGGTCCCACTTAAGCACCTAGGCCAAGCTTTTGACCAGCAAGATCACACCTAACCTCAGCCACTCCCACCCTAGATTTCTCCAGATCAAATTCCATCCACAGGTTCTGCTGATGATAGTGACCAATCACAAACGCCTCTATGCCCAGCAAGTCAGAGTTCCCGTATGTGAAGCAATACACCTGATTCCCGCCCCTCACCATTCCCGCCACCCGATACAGCAGCCTCTCCCTCGATACGCTTATCTCGGCCCCCCGAAACATCAGCGTCACTGTCGGCAACTCGGGCAGGCTTGGCCGGTTCGTGGGGACTTGGAAACACAAATCCATCGCTCCTTGGAACACGAAATTCGGGTCGTCCAAAGTTTTCAGAACCGGTTTGGTCTGCTGAGCGAATTCGTTTTTCAGCGCAGTGTAAACCGGACCGAGTAGGAAAGTGAACTGGGTCCCCGAGTCGACCATTGTTTGACCTGCCCCGGTATGGTCCGGTACGAAAACCGATTTCGGGAGCGGTAACACCTTACCTCCAACCCGGATCCCCTCCAGCTGGACCGAGTACGCGACCCGGTCGAAGTACGGTAATGGTGTCGATATCTGAACCAGAGGGGTGTAATTTAACGGTTTGAGCCAATCGAATTTCGCTTCGCCGAAAAGCAAAATACCGGTCGAGTCGCGATCCGATATGCAGTAGGAAAATTTCGGAAATCCCATCTGTGTTACGAAGGACAATGACCCGCGGTTCATGCCCATTAACCCGGTTGTCTTGGCGTCCTCGTCGGCGTTCGAACTGGACCCGGAATCCATGCACCCGAATATCGTACCGGGTTGGGCTGACGACCCGAGATTGAAAGTTTCCAATGCGAGGTTGCCTTCGATGGAGGAACCGTCTGCGTAGGAGAGAATGGCGTGGCAGAGCTTTTTCGGGTCGCAGGAAACGGGATTAGGGAAGTCGCTGGTCCTGGTCCGGCAGACGGGGGAGGAGCAGGGGACTGGGGAGTAGGACTTGGATGCAAGTGGGTTAAAAACGAAGTTGAAGTTGGGAGCTTTTTTGCAGCGGAGCCAGGAGAGCTCGCTGCCGGTGTCAAGGACCATGGTGACTTGCTGCGGCGGCGAGCCGACCAAAAGCGAGATTGTGAGGGTGACGTTGTGGTGGAAGGAGAGCTTGTTGGTGGATTTTGGGAGGTACCCTTGAGGGAGGGTTTGTGTTTTGAGGGGTAGGATTAGAGTTTCTGGTTTTGGAGCAGAGAAACAGAGGGTGGTGAGGAGTTGAAGAAGAAGGAAGGGTAGGAGAATGAGCATGGTTTTTGGTGAAACTACGAACTGGGGAACTGAAATCAAATGGAATGTATGTTTTTTTTTTTTTTTGTTGGATTTGGGATTTGAATGCGTTGGTGTTGCAGGGGAGTTTGAGAGATTGGTGAATGAGCGAGAGGTTGTGGCGGGGTCTTTGTATTTGTTGCAGGTGTGCGTGAGTGGTGAAAGGTACGATTTTTGGTTTCTTATATTCTACATAATCTCTCTCTCTCTCTCTCTCTCTCTCTCTCTCTCTCTCTTTCTCCCAAAATTTGGTTTAAGAAAATTTATACATGCAATTCACGTGATTATGTATTTGTACCAATAAAGAGATGTTATGTAATCAAAGTTCTGATTTTATTGCAAGGGGTTTGTAATTAGTCAAGCTCTTAAGAACGTTTACTTTCGTAGTATTAAACGGTTAAAAGCATTAACTTTTGTAATCCGTGTCCATTATATATATGATTAGGAAACTAAAAAATAACCGTTGATTTTAGGAAATGAATGGGAAATTTAGGAACGAGTAAGAACTTTAAATACTTAGGGATGCAGAAAGTAAGGAATAAGTCTCATTCATAATTTTTAGGAATTTGTATTACTGATTTTCTCAAGAAGAAACGATATTTTTCTTCTCATACTCATTACTAATAAGTAAACTAAGTCATAATGTATTTTTTTACCATAAATTTGTAATAAAATTAAAGCGCGCTTAAAAGCAGTTATATTGTAATTTGTATCCGAGAACTTATGTTTCATTCCCTTCTCTCGTTTTCATTGTCTTTAACGTTTTCTTCTTTTTTTTTTCAATCTTTAACGTAATTCTTTCTCATACGTGCTTTTTGTCTTTGAAGCTATCGGGTTTTTGGTGATGGAGTCTTCCCTTTTCACATACGTATGTTTTCAGGTTGAAGTAGGTGCATTCCTTTACTTATAATCTAAAATTGTTCGTATATAAAAATTGGCTTTTACTCTTCTTCTTTCGTTGCCTTGGATGAACAATTTAAAGGTCAAATTTTTATATTCTTACCTCTTAAATTTCTAATGTGAGGGCGAGCTTTAGCGCAACAAAACATGTTGCTTCTTTCTGATCAAAAGATTACGAGTTTAAATTGTGAATCATCATCTTTACAAAGTAAAAATAAGATTGCGTACGGTAAACATTCCATCTGACCATATGCTTTGCTATTTGCTTGTTTATTACGAGCCATGAATATATTAGTGGCTAGACTGTGCTTAATTCTTCCCTTTCTGATTTATTAAGCTTCGAATCCAACAGCCCAAAAAGGTCATTAAACTTTGAAAAGAATTATTCACCTATTACTACTCCTAACAATCTTGTTCATAAATAAAGTTTCAAATCAAATCTCCTTATGGAGAAAGCATCACCTCAATTATGCTATGATTTTCTTCAATTTTTTCTGTACTGCACTAAAAAAAATGGATTTGGATTGTCTGCCCTCCCATTTCGGTGCCCTCCTGTTTGTGTGGTCACGTTTAAGCCACGTCAACATTTTATATTACTATTTTTTTTTGTTTTATTATTTTTATAAAAAAACAATATAAAATATTGACGTGGCTTAACCGTGACCACATAAAACAAGAGGGCACCAAAATGGGAGGGCAGACAATCCAAATCCAAAAAAAACAACTTATTTCCATTGTTCATGATTTTTTTTTAGAGAACTTTAACGAAAAACTCCAAGTACTGTTCACTTTAACGAAAAAATATATTTTTACACTAAAAAGTCAATCCTGGTACTCTTCACTTTACCCTTTATTTTGTCTTTATCGTTAAAACTCAAAGTTTTTAAATTCTTTTTATTAGTTTTCATTTTCTTTTAATAATTGTCATTGATTTTTTTTTTTTTTTGGTACCGTTTTACCACTTTTTTTATTTTTAGTAAGATATTCATTATTTTGGTGAATAATGACTAAGTACACAGACGATAAAAACCCTTCAAGGATTTCAACTCGACCCAAAGGGAAAAAAAAAAATCCCACACGTTTCTCTGTAACGTTAATGTTTTTACTACTTTAGTCTTTTCTTCTTCTTTCCTGTTCTACTGCAACTCATTGTTATTGTATTAATATGAAAATGAAAGTTAATGAATTTCAATTATCTCTCTAATCTTAATTAGATGAGCTGGTGATTAGCAACCAATCTGACCTATGTGAGCTAGAGATTCGTGAATTGCCGACATACCCTTTGAGAAGGCATTATCTGGAAGGTACAACTGGAGACAAAAATGTATGCTGCTAGGAGATGAGAAACTTATATTATTAATTAAGCCTTGACTCTTAAACCTTTTTAGTAGACAATTATTTGATTAACTACTGTTAAGTATGTATTATATTGTCAACCCGGCACCAATATTAAACAAATGTTTGAACTTTCGGCATACATGTAAACCCTAGACTTTGGTCTTGAAGGCAGCCCCCTCCCTGGTACTGTTTATCAGTCAAATTAAGTGTCATTCAGAACCTTCTACTTTATTGAGAAACGCTTTATTGCATGACAGTCTTGACGTACCATATGCCATTTTAGTCATGTCAGTCAATCTAACTTCTTGTTAATTTGAGTCGCTGATCATTTCAGTTATTATTCAAATTTATAATCTGAACTCAAGGTGTAAAATAACATATTATATTGTCAAATTGTTAATTTTATGTTATCTGAGATTGCCAATTTCAGCCACGGATCATAGAAGTTTTATTCCGATCTGATGTTATGTTTCATATTCAAGTAGCGGAGAATAGTGATGTTTACTAGTTAGTGAGACTATTGGACCAGTCCTTTAGGGGAAAATGATTTTCATTTTAGATAAATCCAGTTATCGTTAGAATGTATAGTCTAAATTCTGAATACAATGACATAGTTATAAATCGAGTCATTGTAAGAATGTGCCGTCTAAATGTATATATCAAAATTGATGAATGATGATTGGTGTACCCAATTAGCTACCAAAAAGAAGATGCATGATGCATAATCTCATCAACAAGCTTGATTACCGCTTAATTAATATGCTGGTTCCCACACGGATTAGGGGTCAAAATCTTCAAATAATGTGAAGCATACTAATACCAAAACGATTGTGACCGAAAGGGAATCGTGCGCGTTCCCTGATGATGTTTCCCTTCCCATCACAATTCCTAGGCATGCAGCATGCTTTGACAGCAACTATAACAAAACTAAATGCCTCACAGGAAAGACATAGCTGCGATCGATGATAATCTTCAAACCTAATAGTTTGAAGGCTTTCAAGTTACGTGCAAATATATTATCAAGTCAAGCACTCAAGCTTTCATGGCCAACCACATGTCCCTCTGTGCGTCCATCAACTTGTTTTTGTTCTTATCCATTAGCTTAGTTACTACCCCTTAGGGACCATCTGCATTGTCAATGCCAATGAATTCGCCCTCACTTTCTAGGGTTTAAAGTTTTCTTCGTTGAATGCAAAAAACCAAAAATTATTAGCATTGCATGGACAAGTTGATTTGGAAATATTTCAAAAGTCCTCAACTCCTTAATTCCTAGACAATGGGACAAAGAGTTGCCACATAATTGGAGGAAATTTTAGCATACAAAGTGAGAAAATTTTAGGGGAATTTCGCTAGAATTCAACTTTTCATTATTTCCTGTAGATTATCTTGTATGTTATAATATTAAACTATGAATTAAGATGGTTTAATGTTTAAGATGATATTAAACTGAGATCTGCGTTTACGATTTGGGCATTATACGCATTAGACAAGATATGTATGGTTATCAAATAACAAGTTAGATATTCGACAAAAAAAATTAACTCTTTCCAAAAAAAATTGAAAGTATTTATATTATGAGAATAAAAGCTTTTAGTATCTTTTTTTTTAAAGAAATTTTAACGAAAAACTTCTGGTACTGTTTATTTTAACAAAAAATCACAATTTTACACTAAAAAATCAATACTGGTACTAATCACTTTACGCTTTATTTTATCCTTATCGTTAAAAATGAAAATTTTCAAGCCATTTTCATTAGTTTTTTTAATTTTTTAATTTTTTTAATTTTAAGAAAAAGAAGGTCAAACTACATAGGTAAGTTGTTTTTTATTATTCTAATGAATTTGAGGTCACTAAAGATATTATCAAAAGCAAAAATGATAGTTACTTGTGTGATTGAATAATGATGGTTAGCTTTAACAATGCTAGAGAGTTGGAGGAGTCAATAGAACTAAACAGTTGAATTTGGTATGCTTTCTCAATCAATCAGACAAACTCAAGGGACCAGAGCGGAAAGATAAGTTGCATGCAAAGCTTTTATATACGTGACGTGAGTTGCATTCTTCCTCAGTCGACGACTCTTTTTCAATTTCCAAGTGCAAACGCGGTTTGGCAATCGGTCACCAACTACTTTGTTCTTTCCCCAAGTTTTGTTACTCTTAATTCTGAATAAAAAGAGTACGTTGCTTTGGGAGTGTGAATCTCACGCCGAAAAGTTGAGAGATTTTGTATTGATATATTGTAAGGAATCGAGTCTTTTTTTAGATTACAAATTAAATTTAGTATGAAACTTCAATTTTTTTTTTATGCTTTAGAACACGTTGTCCAAGATAATAATAACGTCGTCTTGCCCATTCATGAGTGCGTGAGTTAAAAAATATTGAAACTTTAACTTTTTTTGTGTTGTTAAAAAATATCTGACATGTTATTGGCTAACTAGTTTTAAATTAAAACTTCATCATATTAAAGGTGTGACTCCTACAATGGGATCTCTCCCACTATTTTCCAATTGGCCAATTAACGTTAAATTGAAACTTCAACTTTTATATCTTATGTTTCTTGGAATAAGATAAAAAAAAGGACAAATGAAAAAACCCTAGTCAATGATTGAAATGAGTGTTGTGTTGCATGGGAGAAATAGTATTACATAAATAATGACAGTGTAGAGTGTTTGCCCACCATATAATATTTTTATGGGGTTGTTGACATTAGGTTTAAAAATCTATGGCTTAACTTAAAATTGATTAAATACCAAACCGACTTTGACAAAGTAATCATGATGTCCACTGTCTTCAACCAGCTTGTTAAATATTGCAGTGTCCCACATTTCTTTTTTGAATGGGCATTGTTGTTTCTGTCTAGCACGAGAAGGAAATTCGAACGCTCTCTTTTAAAATTGAGAAGATAAGTATCACTAATTAAGAAATACGATTAACAAATAGGTGAATAGGTCTGAATAGAACTATTCGAATCAAAATTTGACTAATGTTCTAGGCCTAGCCAATATTAAGTAGGGTGTCATTCCTAACTAGTCTCTTT